AGGGTTTCTCTGTAGCTTTGGAGACTGTCCTGCCACTCACTCTGTAGACCAGGCTGGCCTCGAACTCACAGAGATCCGCCTGCCTCTGCTTCCCGAGTGCTGGGATTAAAGGCGTGCACTACCAACGCCCGGCTGGTTTGGCAACTTCTAAGTCTGAAATCTCATGCTGAAGACACAGCTCATTTGCCTCCGTGTCTAAGGTTCCATCCACAGTACCAAAGCACCTCAAGCCCTAAAGAGCAAGGGCAGTGAGAAATGTTTCCAGTCACCTAGTGTCCTAGTGATTTTGAGCCAAGAAAGATGACCTTTAATTCTTCCAGCTTCAAGGGAAAGAAATACCTGCAGTTACGAAGCTTCTATTAAATACATAAGGTCTTCGTGGTTAAACAGTGTTAAACAAGCCTTCGGGACGCTGTTAAACACAGGCAGAGCAGGCTTGGGCCACGCTTCAGCACTATATCTAGGAGTCTAAGATACCATCTGACCATAGCAATGCAACTGGCTCAAGGGCTGAATCCTGTTTCCACGCAACATGATGGCTGAGTGCAAGGATCTCATTTCCCAATGCAGCGTTCTGACAAATGCTGAGCAGTCAGGACTCCCACCAACCAAACCCAAGGTAAACAGCATACTTTGCATAAAGCCTCCTTTTAGAAAGTTAAAAATAAAATAAATAAAATTAAATATAAAAAGTCTCCCTATTGACCAGTACTATACATGATTCAAATGAAGGGGGAAAAACAAACAATCTACATACTCAGCCATGGCTTCCAAATGCCCTTGGAAAAAGAGGCAACTATGCAGATGAATTGCTAATGTCTTCAATTCTTCCTGTGTAGTGTGGTTTTGCTTTGTTGATTGGTTGAGGGTTTTCTGGCAGTAGTAGGTATTAAACTGAGTGCCTTGTGAAGTGAGGTAGGCACTCCACCACTGAGCGACAATTCCAGAAACCCCTTTCTAAAAATGTGTTGTTTGTATTTATCTGTGCCTGTGCTCCTATGTGGGTTTATGTGCACTGTGTGTGTGTGCAGTACCTGCAGCGGCCAGAAGCTCTCAGACCCTGGATCTGGACTTACAAGCTATTGTGAGCCACATGGTGTGCGTGCTGGGAACCGAACCTGGGTCCTTTAGAGATGTAAGCATTTAACCACTGAGCCATCTCTCCAGCCCACAGCCCTTCTAGTTTACTCCTGATTGTTTTGAGACAAGGTATCCATATATAACGCTAGATGGCCCAGACTTTGATATGCAGATAGCCCAGGGTGGCAAACTTGCAGCAATGCTCCTGCCTCTGCCTCCTGAGCTGTGGAGACCACACCTGGCTATACTCCTGTTTATTCACTCCAATTAAAATTCATTGAACTTTTTGCTAGGCAGTGGTGGTGCACCCCTTTAATGCCAGCACTCGGGAGGCAGAGGCAGGTGGATCTCTGTGAGTTCGAGACCAGCCTGGTCTACAAGAGCTAGTTCCAGGACAGCCTCCAAAGCCACAGAGAAACCCTGCTCAAAAAAACAAAAAAAAAAAGAAAGAAAGAAAACAAAACATAAGGACTGGAGAGATGGCTCAGAGGTTAAGAGCACTGTCTGCTCTTCCAGAGGTCCTGAGTTCAATTCCCAGCAACCACATGGTAGCTCACAACCATTTACAATTCAGTCTGGTGCCCTCTTCTGACATGTAGGCAGAACACTGTATATGTAATAAATAAATAAATCTTAAAAACAAAAATAAAACATGAATAAAGCTGGGCAGTGGTGGCGCACGCCTTTAATCCCAGCACTCAGGAGGCAGAGGGCAGGCAGATCTCTGTGAGTTCAAGGCCAGCCTGGTCTAGAGAGAATTTCAGGACAGCCAGGGCTATTACAGAGAAACCCTATCTTTAAAAAAGCAAAAAAATAAAAAATTAAAAATTAAAATGTTTAATAGCTTTTCTAAACTGCAAATTTCCCAGCACCAAATCTATTAATCCCAAATCTACAATTTATATTTAGAAGCTAGGAGAGGAAGATCCCAAGTGTGAGGGCAACTTGCCTTATTCACTCTCCACCTCCCACCTCCACAAAACAAATCTTAAATCTTTACTTTGAAAAAGTACCCTTGTGGTCTACAGAGATCCTCCTGCCTCTGCTTCCCCAGTGCTGGGATTAGAGGCATGTGCCACCTTCACCCCGATATTTTTGTGATTATTTTTTAACAATAACTCAAAATACAAAATACCAGAAAGGGACAAACTTTTCTCCACTCATCCCTGTCCCCCAGTTACCATTCGCTCTTCCTGAGCTACCAGTATTACAGTTCCTTAAGGGCAGCAATGAATTTTAAGAAGTTATCTGTTAATATTTATATATGATTTAGACTTATTTATATGAACAAACCAAGGCACAGAACCAAGCGTGTCTTGGCTTTTTCTATGAGTATACACAGCAAGTGTGGTTGGCCTGACCTAAAAGTAGTTCCAGAGCTGGTGAGGTGACTCAGTGGACAACGTGGTGGCTTTGTAAGCCTGACGGGAATTTGGGCCTCCAGCACCCACAGGAAAGGAGCGTAAAGGTAATGGCTGACTGTGTTTCTGTACTTGAGTATGGAGATGGGATCCCAGATGCAAGTGGCTAGCTAGCCTAACCAAATCATCGATAGCTCCGAGTTCAACAAGAAATCCTGCCTCAGCAAACAAAGTGATTGAGGCAGACATCCGACATCTACATGTGCCCACTTACACGTGAACACATACAACAAGGGAATGTTCCAGAGCGACAACCAGCAAAGACAGATGTGTTTTACGGAAGCATGGAATTCAGTTCTACACCATGAGCTGAGAAATGGACGTGTTCATTTCTAAGAACACCTGTTCTTAGAATATTGACACAAGTTAGCACACTTGATTTCTGAGCTGGTAACTGTCTCAGTGACATCAAGGAAGCAAGCTGTTATAGCTGGAGCCAAACCAAACAGCATGCCCCTTTCAGTAACTGGATTTTGGGGCCTGTGTTGAGGCAGTCTGAACTCTGAATTTACTCACCTCTGCACAGATGGCCAAGTGGCCCTGAGTACAGAAAACCTAAAGTAGTGGGTGACTTAGCAAACTGACCGTCTACGCCAGTGGTTGCTTAGTTAAGTCCTGTTATTTTCACAGGTTGATCGCAGATGCTGTGAAGTTGACAATATTAATCACACCTGGATATATGTGCTGTTTTACCTACTGAATCTTTTCAGAAGTAAATACACTAAGCTTTTACAAATCCTGTAGATATAAAGCCATCTTGATAACGGCAGGAAACTGGAAATGCTGGGCCGTGGTGATGCATGCCTTTCATCCTAGCACGTGAGGCAGAGTCAGAGGCACAAGGATCTCAGTGAGTGTGAGGCCAGCCTGGTCTATAAGGCGAGTTTCAGGACAGCCAGGAGGTTACACAGAATACTGTGCCTCAACACCCCCCCCCCCCACTAAAGAAAAAGCAATCTGGAAATGGTAGCATATGCCTTTCATTCCAGCCCTGGGGATGTGAACCAGTTCAAGGGCAGCCTTAGCTGTAAACTGAATTCAAGGCCAATATGGACTGGAGACCCTTTATTACACTGTGCCCCTCACCCCCAGGCAAAAGGCCAAGGAGGGAATGAGAAAAAGGGTTAAGAGGCTAAAATGGTTAATTTACAGACTAACAATCAGAGTTCAATCTTGGGCGTCAGATGTAAGTCTTCCGGCATCCACACTCACAAACACACATACACAGATGAATGTAACAAAAGGTTTGGTTTTTGAGACAAGGTTTCTTTGTGTAGATTTGACTGTCCTGGAACTGGCCCTGTAGACTAGCCTGGCCTATTGAGACACACTTTTCAAGTGGCCCAAGATGACCTCAGTCACTGCTGTCACCATGCATGGCTCAGACAGGATCTTACAAAGCCCAGGCTAGCCTGGATGTTAGATTATGGGTGTGGACTACCATTTCATAGAAGACAGTGGTGGGCACCCATCTAGTCTCAGCAAAGGGGTCCGAGGCAGGCAGATCTCTTGAGTTTGAGGTCAACCTGATCTACAGAATGAGTTCCAAGATAGCCAAGGCTACAGAGAAACCCGTCTCAAAAAAAAAAAAAAAGGGGGGGGGTGGGAAACCAGGGATAGTGGTGCACGCCTTTAATCCCAGAACTCAGGAGGCAGAGGCAGGCAGATCTCTGTGAGTTCGAGACCAGCCTGGTCTACAAGAAATAGTTCCAGGACAGCCTCCAAAGCCACAAAGAAACCCTGTCTCAAAAAAAAAAAAATCAAAAAAAAAAAAAAAAAAAAAGGGAAAAAAGTCCTATCTGATGTAAGGAGCATATAACAGACACACAGGCAGAAGCCTGGCTGGAAGGAGATTTGGAAAGTGAGCACAGGCCTGACTACTAGAGATAAGAATGAAGGAGAGCAGGGTGTTGATGGCATAGCCTTTAATCCCAGCCAGGGATTTCAGGAGGCAGAAGCAGTGGGATCTGTGTTCAAGGTCAGCTTGGTCTACAGAGTGAGTTCCAGGACAGCCAGGCTACAAAGAGAAGCCTTGTCTCAAAAGAACAAAACAAGGAGTGTGCATGTGTGGCAGTGTGATAAGCAAGGTGTTTGGGGACCAGCTCAGGCCTGAGAATGCAGAAAAAAAAAAAAAAAAATGTTACCAGCCGTGGCCCTGCACCAGTCAGGTACCCGGCTGTGAACCTAGAGGCTATGTATGGTCCCTAGGGTTTTGCTTCTGCTTGTGTGTATTGCTCTGATGTAAGTGTAAAGTAAAATATATACTCAAAACAAGCTCGCTGAGTCTGTCATCATTCCTCCTGGGCTAAAGCCCAGTAAGTGCTCGTGACATCTGAGAATCCAGGAATTATAGAATGAGGAATTTAACTATAACAGACAGGCGAGCACAGGGACTCAAGCCATTGCTGAAGTCTCATGACACATGCTGGAGAACAAGCTGGCAGAGACAGCTGACTTCACCTTTACAACACACAGAACACAGAAGGAAAAGGGACGCGCTTTTAAGTAAGACAGCTGACCATTTATTTTCACTTTCACAATATAAGTGAGAGAGCTGCACTTTTTTAACCCCACTTCTCCCCTCTGTAGGAAGGGGGAAGCCTTGCTTGTGATGCAGATAGAAAACACTCAGGCTCAGCACCGTAATCTCCTGGTGAAACAAAACAAGAAATACAAAACTGAAATAGAGCCTTTTTGCTCTTATCTGTCTGGCCGAGTCATGCCAGGCCGAGTGGGCACCATCATAGGGCGAGCAGGAGGTCTCATCATTGGAGGGCCTGGCATCATGGGCATGTGACCCCCCATGGGTGGCCTCATTCCAGGAGCTGTGGAACAAAACAAAAAGGAAAAGAAATGAGAAACAACATTCATGAGACAATAGTTTGGGACTTCAACTGAGCAGGGTAGTTAATAGTGGCGCACGCCTTCAATGAGTCCCAACACTCAGGAGGCAGAGGCAGGTGGATCTCTGTGAGTTTGAGGCCAGCCTGGTCTACAGAGTGCCAGGATAGGTTCCAAAGCTACAGAGAGAAATCCTGTCTCAAAAAACAAGAACAAAAAAAAAAAAAAAAGGAAAAACAGAAACTAAAAAGTGCACCCTGAGAACTACTAGAAAAAGATGCAACAAATTCAAATTTTAAGTTACTTAAACATCAAACAATGATGAAACACTCAGTAAAGAAAGCTCTGGCAACCTTGATCTAGTGACAGCAGTAACTATAAATAGACCACTGTTCACAACGCACCAGGGACACTAGTTCTGCTTTACTCAGCTTGGTTTGGTTTTTTACTTTTGTTGTTGTTGTTATTTTTGGTTGAGACAAGGTTTCTGTTTAGCCCTGGCTGTCCTGGAAATAGCAACGTAGACCAGGCTGGCCTAAACTTGGGAGACTCTCATGCCTCTGCTTCCCAAGTCATTGAGATTAAAGATGTGTGATTTTTTAGCCAATTATCTCCACCTTGTAATAGGAGCTGTCTCCTCCACGTCCAGGATCTGAGGGTAGTCTCACCACTAAGTGACTACTGGGAACTATGGGAAGGTGATCAGACCCAGGTTGAAAACCTAATAGTAACCGAATTTAGCTCAAGCCATGAAAAAATAGCAGGCAATCAGGAACTGTATCAAATGGAATACAAAGACTTTCATTTAACAAAAGCAGTTTAGAAACCATTACTCAAATTGCTGGTGTGTGTTAACAATGAACCAGCCAGATCTGTGTGCCAGGGAGGGAAGGGAAGGCAGCCAGGGGCAGAGAAGCAACATGGCAGCTTCAGAACAAAGATGGTCTACCCCGCATCTGGATGGTAGGCTCATGAATATTCATTTTGCTATTGTGCTCTATAATTTTTCTGCTGTATGAATTCCCTGTAAGTACTTGCAAGCACAGTGGCACTTGCCTGTAACCCAGCACCTGGGTGACAGAGGCAAGACAAGATGAAGGTAGCAAGTATGAGGCCAGCCTGGCCACTGAAGCCCAGGCTTCCAGGGTTCCACACTGAGCCTTCATCTCAACAAGGAAGATAAAATAGTCAGTTGGGGTGGGCACGCGGATATTACATATGCATCCTGGTGTCCCAGATTGTTTCTTTTGACTAATTTCCATTAAAGGCTTGTGGTATAAATAGTTCAAGATATAACAATATTCAAAATTGGATGTGGGGTACAAGTCTGTAATGCCAGCACTGAGGAGACAGAGGGTTCCAGAGTTCAAGGCAACCCTGCGTTACAAGAGTAAAACTACTTTTCCAAATGCAACATATCCTCTTTCCCCCACAAAGGAGGGTGACTGACATTATCAAGGGCACACACGAACACACACACAGACAATGTGTGTGAGAAAAGACAATTCAACAGGTACAGAAGCACTAAGGACCCATGTCAATGGCAGCATGTGTCCTGTACTCTGAAGTCCACCAGCACGGCCACACTTGGAGAGCTGTGTGTGTGTTTACAGGAAACTGGGCAGCTGAGCATTTGTCCTCCCTGCTATGCACAGTGGATTTAACTCTTTGGCCTTCTAACTTACTGTGAAGCCTTGGCACACATATAGGTGGTAAAGGGTTTGATGCCCATCCATGGTTGCAGACCAAGCTCTAATGTGCACACGCCCAGAGCCCTCCCTGGAAGTCTTTCTCTTCCCCCATCATTTGTTTTCTATTACTGGTTTGTTTTAGAGAAATAGGGTCTGCTACATTGCCTCAAAATAGTCTCCTGAGTAATCAGGGTCACTCCAGAAGGATTACAGGCGTGTGCCACCATGCCCAGCTACATTTCTTTCAATGGCTCACTCATTCCTGATTCCTAACTCCGGTTTGGGTTTGTTTTGGTTGTTTTTTTTTTTTGGGGGGGGCTCAAACTCACAGAGATCCACCTGTTTCTGCCTCCAACACCTTTAACTAACAATCCTTAAACTAAGGATTTTATTTTGTGACACTGATTTAGAGAACAAGCAGGTCACATGGCACATGACTTTAATTCCAGCATTTGGCAAACAAGAGGCCAGTAGATCTCCATGAGTGCCAGGCAGCCTAGCTTACATAGTGAGACTGTCTCAGAAATATTAATTAAATACTAACTCGATTGAAATCACCTGGCTGTGTTTTGAGTTCCTAAGCCAGTCTTCTGTCCTCTATATTCTCCATCCCTAAACTAATACCTACACAGGCCACAGTTAACACCCCTGGGGAAAGCTGCTTTGACCTCTGCCTATCCTGTTTCTCCAGTTGAGTTGGAGACGCCACTGTCTATTTTGTTATCTTTTTTAAAAATATTTATTTACGGGGCTGGAGAGATGACTCAGTGGTTAAGAGCACTCTGCCTCTTCTTCCAAAGGCCCTGAGTTCAGTTCCCAGCAACCACATGGTGGCTCACACCATCTAAAAAATGAGATCTGGTGCCCTCCTCTGGCCTGCAGGCAACATAAAGACAGAATACTGTATACATAATAAATAAATAAACCTTTAAAAAAATATATTTATTTACTTCTACTTTATATGCATATAGTGTTTTGCTTGCAAGTACAGCTGTGTGAGAGCATCAGATCTTGTATTTACAGTTTTGAGCTGTATGTGGGTGCTGGGATTTGAACCCAGGTCCTCTGGAAGAGCAGTCAGTGCTCTTAACTGCTGAGCCATCTCTCCAGCCCCTTACTCCTAAATTTTCAAACCATGTTATGCCTACCTTTTTATTACTGTAATTAGCCAATTTAACTATTCTGCAAACAAAATAATATTTAAGAACATGCCAGGCAGTGGTGGTGCACGGCGTTAAACCCAGCACTTGGGAGGCAGAGGCAGGCGGATCTCTGAGTTGGGAGAGTGTCAGACCAGGCTGCAAAGCTACACAGAGAAACCCAGTTTTGGGGGCAGGGGGACAAGGGGCAGCCTCATGCTGCCTTCACAGCACAAGGCCATTAAGCTATTCAACCATATTGACAAACCAATCTTTATCGTTAAAGACTGACCAAATTCAATGTTACAATGCTTACAGCTAACAGAATTGCCCTTAATGCACAACTAAAATGTGACACATTCCAACTCACCAGGTCCCACAGGCATCATCCCAGGAGGAGGGGGGCCCATCATCGGCATCATGGGAGGGCCTCCCATGTGGGGTGCAGGCATCATGCCAGGGCGAGGAGGACCCGCTAAAACAGACAATGGAGGCTGTGGTTAAAGCAGGTTTGCACGCTGACACTTTCTCTCCTCTCAGAACTATTCAAACTCTGAATAATAAGCTTCCTATAGTTTCTTATTCTAACAGACTCACAAATATAACATGTCATAACTCTTGTGATTAAAAAGCAGTAACAAAATCCCAGCACTCAGGAGGCAGTGGCATGTGCAATGCTGTGAGCTCAAGGCTCACAACCATCTATCTGTAATGAGCTCTTATGCAGTCTTCTGGCCTGCAGTTACACATACAGGGAGAACACTGTATACATTTAAAAGAAGAGCTAATGGGACAAGCCTGACCTGAGACTTTGCCTCCCACAAACTAAACAAAAAGAACTGTTAACTTTAAAACTATTTTATAATTTATACCAATAAAAGCTGGGAAGATAAGTTAGTCTGAAAGTAGTTTCCATGTAAGCATTAGGAACTGAGTTCAAAGCCCAGAGGTGGTGGCTCACACCTTTAGTCACAGCACACAATAAAACCAAAACCACAAGGTGGCTGACTCCAAGGTCGGCCTCCAGTCTCCATGTGAACGCACACACTTCCACACTCACAGTCTCCATGTGAACACACACACTTCCACACTCACAAGCTTGCATGTGAACACACACACTTCCACACTCAGTCTCCATGTGAACACACACACACTTCCACACTCACACAGTCTCCATGTGAACACACACTTCCACACTCAGTCTCCATGTGAACACACACACACTGCCACCCTCACACAGTCTCCATGTGAACACACACACACTGCCACCCTCACACAGTCTCCATGTGAACACACACACACTTCCACACTCACACAGGAGGAAATTGTAGTGTTGAGGTTCTCCTGTTTTCCAATTAGGGAACTACCTAGTCAGTCAACAAGTCTTTGGATGGCAACTATGTGACATGCTAATAATAAGGCTAATGTGAGCAGTTGCAGAGTTAACAGAGTTTCAGACTTACGGAGACTGGGGGGAGGCGGGATCATGGCCCCAGCAGGAGGAGGAGCAGAGAATGGAGCTGGGGGGATCTTTCCTTGTTGAAATGCAGCCGCTTAAGCAAGAAAACAAAAAATGATGTTAAGAATGCAGCTCTAAGGTGGTTTACTAAAATAACCACCTTCTTTCTTTGAAATCTTTAACTTACTTCACTCTAGAAAGTATTCTAAAGTCACTACGTGGTACTACAGCTTTAAAACTAATATGCTCAACTGTTACAATTGCAATTAACTCATTCACTGATTTAGATACTAAAAGTTTTCTTATAATTTAATCCATTTACTAGCTATGTGTACTCTACTTCTATAGCTAAAATACCTATGTTACCAGGTATGCTGGTGCACACCTATAACCCAGCATTCAAGATGAAGAGGCCTAACTTAGTATCAATGAACCATGACAGGCTGCAGGCTACAATACTGGGACTAGGCCTCACCCTTACAATAACCAGGAAGAGCCACAAACTGTACCCTTCAGGGGTCCAATCAGAATTGAGACAAGTACTACATGCTCCACAACATTAAGAATAGCTTACCTACGCCGGGCATTGGTGGCGCACGCCTTTAATCTCAGCACTTGGGAGGCAGAGGCAGGTGGATCTCTGTGAGTTCGAGGCCAGCCTGGCCTACCGAGCGAGTGCCAGGATAGATATGCTCCAAAGCTACAGAGAAACCCTGTCTCCAAAAACAAAACAAAACAAAAAAACGAAAAAAAAAAGGGAAAAGAACAGCTTACCTAACTTGTATATAGGTTGACTACTTCCTTGCAGGAACACCAGTACCAATCACTGTTTGCCAAAACTTGTTACCTCATTCCTGCCCAATCAGTTCAACCCTTCTGAATCCAGAATTCCCTTGCCCACCGCCACCACTGACCGCAGTCCTTTACTGCTGAAAAACCCTGCCACAGCTTAGCTCAATGCACTCCATAATCCAACCACTATGTTAGAGTGGACGGAGAGCCCTAGCTCAAGTCTGGCAGTAAAGGCTCTGTGCTTTTGGATACAAACTTGACTCCCTGGTAGTGGGGGGGGGGGGGGGGGTTGTCAAGACAGAGGAACAACAAAGAGATGCTGCTGTAGAACCTGAACACAGGAGTTTGACACCTACTCACGAAATACAATGAGACAAGTCTGTCTCTACATCTAAAAAATTTAGTTTGTAACTAATTCAAACTATTAGTTTTATTTGAAAAATGTACAATCCATGCCCAAAGGCAGGGCTTTAAAACACGTCTCCTCCCATCCTGATTAAAAATGATACATGTCCCTTGCTTACCTCTTCTGAAACAAATGCAGATGAGGAAGAAACAAATATTTGAAATGGAAAGAATGCACTGAAGGAGATTATCATTTTTAACAAAAGCCTACCTATTTTTTTCTTTAGAGGCAAAAGGGAGAACAAAAGAAAATGGAAATTATCTAGGTCAGGCAGTGGTGGCACTTGCCTTTAATCCCAGCACTAGGGAGGCAGAGGCAGACGCAGAGATTGTGAGTTCAAGGCCACCCTGGTCTACAGAGCAACTTCCAGAACAGCCAGGGCTATAAGGCTATTACACAGAAAAACCCCATCTCAAAAAAAAAAAAAAAAAATCCACGTGACTTGAGAAGAGTAAAATCAAGAGTGGCAAAAGTGTCAGCCCAGCACTGGGCAGGCGATGGCAGGAGGGTCGAATTCAAAGCTAGCCTGGACTGTAAAGCAAGCTCTGGACTTGAGAGAACAAAACAAAACAAAACAAAAAACAAAAAAAACAAAGCCAGGCCAGGCAGTAGTGGGGCATGCCTTTAATCCCAGCACTGAAGAGGCAGAGAGAGGCAAGCAAATATCTGAGCTCAAGGCCAGCCTGGTCTACAGAGCTAGTTCCAGGTCAGCAAAGGCTACACAGAGAAACTGTCTCAAAACAAACAAAACAAATAACCCCCAATAAACAAACCAAAAACCACCCTAAATAAATAAATAAACAAATCACACTCTCAGGAAGGCAATGCCCAACTCAGTGAGCCTGAAGCCTACCCACTCCATCTACCAATGCAATGTAGGCCAGACCATGACTAGAGCCTGTGCCCCTCCGGGGGCCTCTCTGTAGGGCTTTTCCAGTTACAACAGCACTGTCCACATCCTGTACAGGATGACAGCCCACAGAGTGCAGAGTGGAGAGTGAGCAGCAAACTCCTATCAGCTTAACTATGGACATCTCAAGGCCAGTTCCCGACTGACTGCCTCCCCTGCTCCAAAAGCCTACCATTAAAAGAACATACTTAGCTGGGCATGATAGCATTACTGGAATTATCACCTCTAACCTAAGAAGGGAAGATTGCCACAAGTTCCAAAATACCCAAACAAAGCTGGAGAGATGGCTCAGTGCATAAGAGTTCTTGCTCAGGCATAAGGACCTGAGTTCAAATCCCTGGGACCCATATTAAAGCCAGGCATAGCCATGCATGCCTGGAACTCCTGTAGAAGGAACAGACCAAAGTAGATTCCTACTCTCAATGGCCAGATAGACTAGCTGAAATGAGAAATTTCAGGTTCAATGAAGGATTCTGCTCTAGGGAATAAGGCCAAGGGGGATATGATAAGAGCAGAGGCCAGGCATGGAGACAACTGCCTTTATTTAGGTCCAGCACTCAGAAAGCAGAAGCAAGCAGGTCCTGGCGAGTTCGAGGACAGTCTGGCCTAAATAACAAGCTATAGGACAGCCAAGGCTACATCTGAGATGCTATCGCAACATAAAAAGAGTGAGTAGGACTTCTGACATCTTTTGACTTCCACATGTGGATGCATGAGCAGACAAACAGACCAAGCACATGTCTGTAATCCTGGGACTTGAGAATCTGAGACAGGAGGATCCAGAATTCAAATTCATCCTCCAACACACCCAACAAGTGGGAGGCTCACATGAAACTAAGTGGATGTTTACAAAAGGCTATGTTTCCAATATACTCCATGGTCTACAATAAATGCAAGGTCTCGGACCCAAAACACAGAAGGTTCCTAAAAAAAGAAGATGGCAGATCCAACTGTGGTCCAGAACATATCCAGACTGTTTTTCACAACAATTAGGATTCTTCTAACTACTACTCCATTTTCTTTTTGGTTTTTAGAGACAGGTTTTCTCTGTGCAACAACGGCTGTCATGGAGCTCACTTTATAGACAAGATCCGCCCGCCTCTGCCTCCCAAGTGCTGGGATTAAGGGCGCGCGCCACCGACCAGCTTTACTTCTTTTTGCCAGAGCTACAAACATAAAGGCAAAATTTAGTTACTCAAAGCCACTCCTACATTTTCCAATTATTATGGAAAAAATCTTGTGAAAATTGTGGATTGAAGGGGCTGGAAAGATAGCTCAGGAGTTAGGAGCACTGACCGCTCTTCCAAAAGACCTGGGTCCAATTCCAGAACCTGCATGGCAGCTCACAGCTGTCTGTAACTCCCGTTCTAGGGTACCTAACACCCTCACAAACATACAGGTAGACAAAACATCAATGCACATAAAAATAAATAAATCTTTAAAGAAAAAATTGTGGACTACAATTTTGCAAAAATAGGTTCACATAATTGTGCTTCAGAATCTTGTTGCCAGTAACAGGAAAATCCTAGGCAACCCCATCTTATATACTCCACCTCCCAGCCTAACCAGAAAGCGCACAACTGTAACTGTGTAATCTCAACAATGAGTACTAATGCGTTCCTAAACTCCTGGGATTCCTGGGAAACAACTGACCCTCCACTCCACTCATTCAACACAAGCAAATGACCCTGTGTATCTCAGAGTGAGCTGCTACTGCGGAAAACAAAGAATGGGATAAAAAGAACGGGATGGTCGGGCGTTGGTGGTGCACGCCTTTAATCCCAGCACTCGGGAGGCAGAGGCAGGCGGATCTCTATGAGTTCGAGGTCAGCCTGGTCTACAAGAGCTAGTTCCAGGACAGCCTCCAAAGCCACAGAGAAACCCTGTCTCTTTGAAACAAACAAACAAACAAAAAGAAAGGGATTATTCTATTACATCAGGACCAGAGACCAAGACATACTTGTTTTGTCAATCAGGCTCTGGGCTTGCTCTTCCATCCATTTTTGGTAGTAGTCTTTCACATTCTCTTTGTGTTTTCGACCACTGCAGTGTGTCTTCCTCACAGATGGCTACAAAACAAAAATCATGTCAGACACAGAAGCAAATTTCCAAAACTAAAAAGCTCAAAAGCTTTGGATATTATAAAGACTAGATATTTACAAATCTAAGAACACAATTTGTTATTTTAGAAAAAGTGTGCATGGCCGGGCGCTCACTTTAATCCCAGCACTCAGGAGGCAGAGGCAGGCGGATCTCTGTGAGTTTGAGGCCAGCCTGGTCTACAAAGAGCTAGTTCCAGGATAGGCGCCAAAGCTACACAGAGAAACCCTGTCTCGAAAAACCAGAAAAAAAAAAAAAAAAGAAAGAAAGAAAAGAAAAGAAAAGAAAAAGTGTGCATTCCCCTGGCCTGAATCACAGTGCTATTGTAATGCCCTTAGGTTTCACCACAGGAAAATAGTAGCTTCAATACACTTAAGCAACACTGTTATGAGAATACAGTACTTTAAGCTGGTAGTAGTGACGCATGCCTTCAATCCCAGCATTCGGGGCAGCAGTATCTGGGATAACCTGGTCTACATAGCAAGTTCACACTCTCAGGAAGGCAATGCCCAACTCAGTGAGGCCTGCAGCCTACCCACTCCATCTACCAATGCAATGTAGGCCAGACCATGACTAGAGCCTGTGACTCTCCGGGGGTCTCTCTGTAGGGCTTTTCCAGTTACAACAGCGCTGTCCACATCCTGTACAGGATGACAGCCCACAGAGTGCAGAGTGGAGAGTGAGCAGCAAACTCCTATCAGCTTAACTATGGACATCTCAAGGCCAGTTCCTGACTGACTGCCTCCCCTGCTCCAAAACTCTACCAAGACACGGTTTCTCTGTGTAAGAGTCCTGGCTAGCCTCGAACTAGCTCTATAGAGCGGGCTGGCCAAAACACCCAGTTTTAACACAACTTTTGAATAATATGATATAATGAAATACTTGAGCCAGATGGTAGTGGTGCACCCCTTTTAACCCAGCACTCAAGAGGCAGAGGCAGGCAGATCTCTGAGCTCGAGGCCAGCCTGGTCTACAGAGTGCATTCCAAGGAAACCAAAGAGAAACCCTGTCTTTAAAAAAAAAAAAAAATCGAGTTGTAGGAGCTCACTCCTGGGTTTGGGGGAAGTTACTTTGACAAGGCCTCAATATGTATCCTGGACTAACCTGCAATTCACCATCTATCTTCCCGGTTCACCCTTTCAAATACTGACATTACAGGCAAACGCAGTTTCTGCAAATGTTTTCATCCTCAAGCCTGCTAAAGCTTTCTCACTCTGCAAAGATCTTCAAACTACAAAGACCGTCACGGAAAGGGCGTAAAAAGAAACGCACGTCCCAATTACTTTGCACGAAGAGCAGAGGTAAAAGTCCCAGCAGGCTGTAAGGCACAAACGCGGACCTAACTAAGTCCGCAGCAGCACCTGGCTTTGCATGCGGCGTTGGGGGCTGAAGGAAGGACTTACAGAGTCGTGGGTGAGGTACGTGTCACAGTAGTCACAGTAAAACCTGGCAAGACAAAAGGATTGGACAGTTCTCAGATGTGCAGACAAACAGAAAGCCTCAAGCTCGGGTTCTAGGGCGTCAGACAAAGCGTTCTGACAGACGCCGGGGCTGCGCGGGGAGGCGCGGCGCTCCCCACCCGGCCGCTCGCCCAGGCGCTCGCCCTCGCGCCGCCGGGAAATGACGCACGCAGCCCGCGCCGACACGGCCGCAGGGCGAAGAGGCGAGGGCGGGACTTCCGCTGAGGCCGGCCGGGAAGTGTGCTATGGGTGCCTGTGAGGCTCAGTCCGCGCTCGGCTCCTCGTGGATGGTCCTTGGCGCTCGGAAGTGTTATTCTCGCGGCTTCCCTGCGCTGCCGCACGAAGCGCCGGGGACGCAGCAGCGCCAAAGCGGGCGGAAGTCTCACTCTCGGACTCCTGGTTGGCAGGAAGGCGGACTCGATCTAACCAGTGGGTCGTGCACCGAAGTCCTAGGCTTGAGAAGTGAAGCGGCGGGGACGGGCGCTCTATTTATTTATGGGGGCGGCGGTGGTGCACGCCTTTAATCCCAGCACTCGGGAGGCGGAGGCAGGCGGATCTGTGAGTTCGAGACCAGCCTGGTCTACAACAGCGATTCCAGGACAGGCTCCAAAGCCACAGAGAAACCCTGCCTCGAAAAACCAAAACAATACAAAACAAAAACAAAAGGCCACAATAAGGGACCGGAGAGACTGCTTAGCAGTTAAGGACACTGGCTGCTCTTCCGAACAATACAGGTTCAATTCCCAGCACCCACATGGCACCTTAAAACTGTAACGCTAGCCGGGCGTTGGTGGCTAATCCCAGCACTCCGGAGGCGGAGGCAGGCGGATCTCTGTGAGTTCAAGACCAGCCTGGTCTCCAGAATTCCAGGACAGGCTCCAAAGCTAGACAGAGAAACCCTGTCTCAAACCCTCCCCTTCCCTCAGAATAGCCTGTCCAGTATCCATGAGGTTATGTAAAAAAAAAAAAAAAAAAAAAAATACTGGGACAACAATTACCTTGTCCATCTGGTGGCTACCAGGTGGCAGTAGACTCTCTCTCTCCCTGGCAAGTGGGAAGGAAATAATGATTCATTGGTTCTTTCTGTGAATGTTTTGCCTCCCTTTGATAAACAGAAAGTTTATAGCTAAGAATAGAAAAGGCTAAAGTCCCAGGGCCTGGAGACTGTGTTGTCCTTTGAACCTCTTTATTAACCCGAAGCTATTAGAGCAACAGGTTTTAACCACAGGAGGAAGCTAGGCAGGAGAACAGGTTTAGTGGGTAGGCTCTGAGTAATGCCTTATTATTACTGAGCAATGCCGTCATTATTACTTGAGGATGGGATGCTTCTCTTACATGGGCAGGTTAGCTTCTCTGAGCTTAGTTTATTAGCACAGAAGGTTTTCAGTCTAACGCAAGCGGTGCCCTACAAAGCTCCGATGGGAACCCTCAAGCATGGCCTGAGGGTGTGAGAAGGAAACACACACACGCACCTGTTGTCCTGGGGCAAACTATCTTGGCTCTTGAATGGGAAAAAAAAAGCAAACAAACATGAAAGTACCAGTTATTAAGCACCTAGGTGGGGTCAGAATTAGACAAGGATTTTCATTGTTATCTGATGGGATTGGATGTGAAGTTTTTGTTTTGTTTTATTTTTTACTGATAATGAAATTCAGCACCAAAGAGGTAACATAAATCGGCACAAGATTGCAAAGTTAGTAAGTGGTGAAGTCAGGACATGAGCTGAGATAGCCAGGGTCCAGCCCTACCCTGTCCGTGGACCAAACAGCCAGTGTATGAGAACCTAATGCCTTTGCTCCAGTTGGAAAGCCTTGTTTTTTCAGACATGCCCTTCAAAGCACCAAGGTGAACCCTTCGACATGCACAAGCTCATGCCTCTAAATTCATGAATGGTGCATTTTGAGTAGGACGTTCCCGAGGCAGGAGGGCCAGAAGTTCAAATAACGTGGAGCGTGAAAACTGATTCTCACCTTTGCAGGAACATCTTGGCATACGTGTGCATAATGGCATACAAAATTAAAATGTTTAAATATAGCTGGACGGTCGGGGAGCATGCATTTAATCAGAGCACTTGGGCTGCAGATGAAGATGGATCTGAGTTCAAAGACAGCCTGGTCTACAACACGAGTTCTGGAACAGCCAGAATTATTTCACAGAGAAACCCTGTCTCAAAAATTAAAAAAAAAAAAAAAAAGGCCCCTGTAGTTGTGCCCAGCCATTTTTTTTATGATGTTTTAGTTAATTTTAGATTCCAGATGTAATAAAGTTGACAAAGTAGCCATCAACCAGGAGACTCTAGGTTGTGTCAAATTGAGAATAAAAACTAAACCAGCAGAATGAGTGCACAGGCACTCATGTCACAGTGTGCGGGAGCAAGCATGCTGCAAGCACAGTGAGTGTGTGGGCACACACGCCACAAGCATTCGTGTGGCGGTCAGAGTCTGCTCTCTTCCACACTTTGAGCCCCCAGGGTCAAACTCAGGTTGTCCAAGAGCTTTTACCTACCAAGCCACTCACTAACCTCTGCATTGTTTTAGTCATTGGTTGGTTTTGGGGTTTTGTTTAACTTTAATATTTTATGTGCATTGGTGTGAAGGTATCAGATCCCCTAGAAATGGAGTTACAGAGCTGCCATGTGGGTGCTGGGAATTGAACCTAGGTCCTCTGGACTGACACACATACACCATGGTATGAATGTACACACTAATTTTCTAAAAACTCACACATAGGGCCTGGGGAAATGGCTTAAAGGGTTAATACCTGCTGTGAAAGCAAGAGGACTGAGTTGAGATCTCTAGCATTCAGGTGAAAGCCAGGCACAGCTGTGTGTGCTTATAACCCCATCGTGCAGAGGTGGAGACAGGTGGATCCTGCGAATTTGCTGGCCAGCCAGCCTAGTCTAGCTTGAGGTTCAGTGGGAAACTGTCTCAAAACATAAGGTGGACAGGAACGCACGTGGTACACATAAATACATACCAGCAAAACACCCAAAGTCATAAAAAATATTTTTGGTTTGGGTACAGGGTTTCTCTGTGTAGCCTATATGTCCTGGAACTCACTCTTTAGACCAGACTGGCCTGAAACTCAAAGAGGTCTGCCTGCCTCAGCCTCCCAAGTACTGGTGATTAAAGGTGTGCACCACCATTTCCAGCCAAAATGTAAATTAAAAAAAAATGGTAGAGAGCAATTGAGGGAGTCACCCGATATCCTTCTCTGACCTCTGCATGATTATATACTCACCAACCCCCAAACAAAAGAAAATATAAAAACTCCCTAATTTTCATTACATTGTTGTGTAAATTAGATGTCCATGTTTAGTGGACTACCAAATTTGGGGACACAATAAAATATAAAGTGCAGATTATAAATCAAATTTTGAATCCACTTGAAACAAATAACTGCTTTTACTGAAGCCTTTGACAGCGCTGGGGACTGAAGCCAAGGCCTTGTGCATGCTAGGCCAGCACTCTCTCTACCACAGCACTACATTTCCTGCTCGACTGAAGACTTCCCTACCCCTGCAGCCTGTCCCTCTGGAGTTTCCAATCAGGGTGGTCTTCTTTTCTTCTTCTTCTTCTTCTTCTTTTCTTCTTCTTCTTCTTCTCTTCTTCTTCTTCTTCTTCTTCTTCTTCTTCTTCTTCTCTTCTCTCCTCCTCTTCTTCTTTTTGGTTTTTCGAGACAGGGTTTCTCTGTGTAGCTTTGGAGCCTATCCTGGAACTCTCTTTGAAGACCATGCTGGCCTCAAACTCACAGAGATCCACCTGCCTCTGTCTCCTAAGGGCAATGCTGGGATTAAAGGTGTGCACCATCCAACCAGAGCTGTTACACACAGAACCCCTTTCTCAAAAAATAAAATAAAATAAAATAAATTAAAAAAATAAAAAAAAGAGGACAACTGAGTCTGCTCTTCCCTCCACCTGGAGATTAAAGACATCAAATGGAGACCGACAGGCATGGTGGCAAATACCTGCTGATGCACCACCAGTCCTGAAGTCTCAAAGTACAAACCCCACCCTGAGTCCTGCCCCATCACCGAGGAGAGAAAGGTCGATCTGGCTTTCTGAGGAAGACATCCCCTGACGGCTTGGGCCGTGGCTTAAGTCAAGGTGGGTGGGTTCACAGGTCCCTTCTCTGTCAGAAGCTGAGGGCCCCTGTGCCCATGGTCAGTGCCAGGCTCTGCTGCACTTGTCAATGGACTCTGGCTTCTTGGACTCTATACCTCATTACGCCTGTCTCAACTTCTGATCTGGCTCCATTTCACCCTTACCCCAGTGACCTCTGTGGACCTTCCTTTCCTGCTGGTAGATCCCATGGTGCCCTGCCCCAGGAGCCCCAGTCTCTCTGGAAGGACCATAAGCAGGGTCCCCTCCACAACATAATCCTGGGAAATCCATTACTTTGTGTTTCTGGTAACTTAGAGTTATCATCACTGGGGACAATGAAGGTCAGGGAATTATGGGAAGCTTCTCATATCCAGGGCCGTTTTTGTAAGCAGTGCACACATCTGAAATGGCCTGCAGGGAAGGGTAGGGTGGCTGCAGCTCTCCCCCAGTGCCATGCATGACTTCTACACACTACAACCAGGCAGGATAACAAATGTGTGGGGAAAGAAAATTGTAACACAAAAAATAAAAGACCCAGTAACAGACATTGTGGTTCCAGCTTCAAGCTGAAGATCAGAAAAGCAAAGGAGCCAGCCACTAGCTCTGACCTCTACCTCAGCTAAGACCAAAGGGGTAATCTTCAAACTGTTCCTCACTTGACTGCTCCTCAGATTCACTCAGACTGCTATGCTCTCAACATGACTCCATGCCTTCCTATCTTCAGTGTGGCTGGAGAATGAATGCCAGCTCTGAGGCTGTCCCTGTCTCTCTCTCTCTCTTTTTTTTTTTTTCTGGTTTTTCGAGACAGGGTTTCTCTGTGTAGCTTTGGAGCCTATCCTGGCACTCGCTTTGGTCCCGAACTCACAGAGATCCACCTGGCTCTGCCTCCTGAGTGCTGGGATTAAAGGTGTGTGTTGGTGGCGCACACCTTTAATCCCAGCTCTGTCCCTGTCTTAAATACCTCTCAAGAGTCCTGGGATTAAAGTCATGAGCTCTGTTACTCTTTTCGATTGATTCAATCTTATGTAGCCCTGGGTGGCCTTGAACTCAGAAAGATCCATCTGCCTTTGTCTCCTCAGTCCTGGGATTAAAGGTGTCTATCACCATTGTCTGACCTGTATGACTTATGGCTAGCTATGCTTTCTGAATACTCAAGCAAGCTTTAATAAATCATAATGAATAATAAGTATTACCACAAAAATTTTTAGAAAAAAAAAAGTGCCAGGTGTGTTGGCATACACCTTTAATCCCAACAGTCAGGAGGCAGAGGCAGGTGAATCTCTGAGTTTGAGGCCAGCCTGGTCTCCAGAGACAACCAGGGCTACACAGAGAAACCCTGTCTCAAACAAAAGCGTCATATCAGAGAGGCATCATGGCACACCTAAGGCTCCAGGATCACCGGGAAAGAGGAGGCAGAGAGACTGTCAAAAGCCAGAAGGTCAGGGACTTTGCTGTGAGCTTGTGTCTCCTGGGAATGTCAGAAGCCACACTCATAGTCTCACCAACGTGACTGCCTAAACATGAGCTGAACAAGGACAGTGGACATTGCTGACAGGATGCAGGAAAGCACACGAGGCCTCAACATGACACAAAGAACTAAGGACCACTCAGGCACCCTGAGAGCAGAAGAAATAATATCCCCCAGAGAAGAGCACACCACCAAAACATACACACAAGTAACATACAGACCGGGTAGGCTGTACTTATATGTTTAGGAATATATGTGCATATATGTATGTGTCAATAATTAATGAAAAAGAGCCCAAGAATGTGAGAGTGATGCCTTTAATCCCAGCATTGGGGAGGCAGAGGCAGGGCCTGGAGGTAGCACAGCACAGAGACAGGCCACACAAGGAGGGCTTAATGGGAACGCAGGCTTCTCTTTAAACCCTGAGGAGCAGCGGGCAGTGCTGCCTCATACCTTTAGTCCCAGTACTTTCTGGGGCAGAGGCAGGTGCAGCTCTGTGAGTTCCAGGTCAGCCAGGACCACACAATGAGACCCTGTCCCCAAAACAAACACAAATGAATGAAAAACCGCTGGAGAGAGCGAGCTTAAAGGAAGAGAAAAAGAGATGGCTGCATGGCAATTGAGGGGCAGGGGTGTGGGGGAGGCAGGGGCGGTGTGTGGGAAGCAAGGTGAAGAGGCTAGGCAGAAAGAACTCAGAGAAATCGAATCAAAAGCAAGTACCTGAGCTGGGCATTGGTGGTGCCAGCCTTTAATCCCAGCATTCGGGAGGCAGAGGCAGGTGGATCTCTGTGAGTTTGAGGGCCAGCCTGGTCTCCAGAGCGAGTGCCAGGATAGGCTCCAAAGCCACACAGAGAAACTCTGTCTCGAAGAAAAAAAAACAAAAAACAAAAAACAACCAACCAAACCAAAAAAAAAAAAAAAAAGTAAAAACTAGTTTTTCTTCAAGATTTCTTTTTATTTTATGTGCATTGTTGTTTTGCTGGCATGAATGTCTGTGTGAGGGTGCCAGATCCCCTGGAACTGGAGTTACAGACAGCTGTAAGCTGCCATGTGGGTGCTGGAAATTGAACCTGGATCTTCTCTGAGAGCAGCCAGTGCTCTTAACTGCTCAGCCATCTCTGTAGCCCATCATTAACATCTTCTGAAAACTCACGTGACAGAGCAGAAATGAGACTGAAAGGAAAGCTGGAGAAGGGAGGGGAAGGGAGGGAGAGGGGAGAAGGGAGGGAGGGAAGAACTTTCCAGAAGCAGATCTACACGCACAGGCAAAACCACCACCACCACCCATGCATTCTGGAGACTGATGACTCACCTCAACTTGTCGATGGAGAGTCTCCTGGAAGAAGGTGGTGTCCCTGCAGGGCCAGCCCAGCTGTCCCCGCAGGGCCAGCCCCTGTGAAGTCACTTACCTCTTTTCTCTGAGTCTCTGGG